ACCTCCTGTAGCCTCTTCTACCATGCTATCATAGTATAAACTATTTTTTTCTGATATGTAAAAATAATAAATGATTTTTGACTAATGTTGGCCTTGACAGGTGTAAATAATGATATACTTGTTAAAAATGGACAGGTATGTGCAGAGGACCAAGTTCAGACCCCTATAGGTTGCCTGATCTCTGCATATGTGCTGTGACTGAGTGACTTGGTGTTCTTGACTCCTAACAGTAGGGGGCAGTCATTGACTCTTTTTTTCCCCTACTGGGTTGTCTCATATAGCTATAGGTCTTATAGTAGCATATTAAATTGTGTTTGGTTGGTGTCCCTTTTCTGAGAGGAGGTGGAAAAAGGATGGATCTGGAAGAGAAAGGATGTGTGCGTGTGTGGTGGTGGTGGAGGCTGGTGGCAGGGGAGGGAGGGGAAACAATGGTTGGGATGTAATATATGAGAGAAGAATAAAAACTGAAAACCTACTCAAATCTCAAAAAAATAAAATAAAAGACCAGAAAAAGCAAAATGATAAGTTCAGCTTGGATTTTCAGTTCCTACTGTTCTGCTGGAATCGTTGTAAATGCTCTATTCATATCTCTTTCTTTTCACTTCTCTGTCTAACCATTCATCTTGAATGAATGGGTGAAAGGATAAAATATGATAATTTAATGTCAATTTAGGAGTATATTTAATACATTGCCATGATGTGCTTCCTACACTTCATTTTCATTATTAAAGAATTTTCCAAAAGATAACTTATTTGGCAGTATATCTTTTAAAATTTCGTCTCAATTATATACTTCCAACAGTTTATTTTACTTGTAAGAAAAAAAGTCCTTGTTTCATAGTATCTTATTTTCTTTTTGTAGTCTGATCACTTCGTTTTTTTAACAAAACATTTGGTTGAGAATAAAATGTATTCCGTGCTGACATATCATTCCAAGTACCGCTTGCTATGATTATGCCTAAATACAATTAAGTAGAGCTTCAACTCTCTTGCGAGATGACATAGTTGTGGGTGATTTACATGTGAGACTATTCTAGGAGAAGACAAGAGGCAAGGACAGTCTATTTTGGATGGTTGAGCTGGCAACACTCACTTCTCTGCTGGTCACACCTGCCATATGTTGGCTCCTTTTTTCTTCCAACTGTTTTCCTCCCTACGAATGACTTAAAGGCAGGAGATATCACTTCCCACTTCTGGATCTGAGAAGTGTTAGCATTTGCATACCAAGCACTTTGCTATTTGCTCAAAGATCTTAATGTGTGTTTTGATCTCAGTGTCTTTTTTGGGGGTAGTTGAAATATGCATCAATAAAGCCACTTTCTTCCAGAGCCAAAAAGCAAACTTTTTATTTCCAAATCTATCACTGAGGTCTCCAGCTCCTAAGAATAATTGGCATCAGTCAAGAGGGAGATTGGGCTCTTTTGAAAGATAAAATAAGACTTTCAAGACTATACTGTAAACAAAAATATGAATTCTGTAGGATGTACTAACACATTGAATTTATGTGTATTGGGCCATTTTCAGAATGGAACAAAGCAGACCGAAAAACAGAGGTTTATTACAGTAGCTTTTGTCACTGACCATGTTTTTAAATTTAAACATTGCCAAAATTTAAATTTTCCTCAAACTGTAAATGAGCGCTTTAGATGTAGAATGAGATAATTCATAGGTTCCTTAAAAGAATTTTCATTGACCTTTTTCAGTATAACTTTCACTTTCCCATTCGGCTTTTCTTTTAAAAATTCCCTCTGCTCACTTCATATGAGTAAATATTTTCAAACTCTTTAAAGTCTTAGTACTTATAAATAATTAAAGGAAACCACTGAAAGCCAAATGAATTACAAAACACAAGTCACATTTTCACTTACAATGTTTAAATTTGAACACTGATATCAAGAGCCACCAAATCAACTGAGTATTTTGAGCCTTCCTACGAAAGGAGTGTATCAAGGGAACTTCATATTTATTGCTGCTCCTATCGGTGTCTTAGAACCATACCTTCAGGTGAAATATGTCCATCATCTCAGATAACAATCAGTAACAATCCATAGTGGGATTAATTATCTTGGAATTTTACAAAAATGCCTATGAGATTCCAGGTATGAGTTGACATGTCTCGGTTTCCAAATAATTTGTCATCTGAAAGAAAGACAGACTAAAAAAGAAGTACAAAATGGGGAAAAGGGTGTTCTAAAAGCAAAGTAGTTATTGCCCCCAGAAAATGTACATGCAGTGTGTTTTGAATGCATTGATTCTAGCTTCAATCTTGAGCCATCTAAAGGGAACTGTTTGAAACATTTATTTACCTTACCAATATTAAGAGGATATTGTTGATAATAGAAAGAAAGATGAAAGAAATTAAATTCAAAAGATGAAATGTGAACTATATATGAGAGACTAGAACACAGCAAAATTTAACAGGTACATGGTTAGTAATCAGTTCTTTGCCTAAAATAATCACACTGTTATGGACAAGTCTACCTTCTCCTTTTATTAGATCATTGTCCAGGAGATCCATATTATCTGTACTTTTCATTACTACATTTCCATCTTTGAAAAGACAATACACTCAGCTTAATAAACCTGTTTTCCAGACTTTCTTGGAACATATTTGGCCATGTTGACTAAGTTCCTATGATGTGGGATTCTCCTCTGTATCCTGTGAATACCATTGGTTAATAAAGAAACTGCTTTGGGCCTGTGCAGGGAATTGAGGTAGGCAGGGAAAATCTAAACTGAATGCTGAGAGAAAGGTGGCAGAGTCAGGGAGAAGCCATGGAGCTGCCGATGGAGACAGACATGATAGATTCTTGCTGGTAGGCCTTGAGCCTCATAGTAAAATATAAAATAATGAAGATGGGTTAAATTAATATTTAAGAGTTAGCCAAAAAGAAACTAGAGCTAGTGGGTCCAGCAGTGATTTAAATAATATACTTTTTGTGTGATTATTTTAGGGCTGAGCAGCCGGGAACCAACAAGCAGCCTCTTACAACATTTCTAGATAATGAGATCTCAAGAGAACCAGTTTATTGGTCCCTTTCTATTTGATATTGGCAATATTGGCTGAATTTCATATTTAATGGCTGACCAGTGTCCTTATTGGGCTTTGTGCATTAACAAGTAATTCAGGTATTATAAATCACCTAAAGATAAGCAGAAATATCTAAGAAGCTATGATTCTTGAATATGAAATATTCTTTCATAGGATCATGTACTATATACTTGATCTCTAGCTACCAGTGCTGTTTTGTGACATTGTAGAAGTTTTAGAGAGGCAGAGGAAACAGGTCACTATCTTTTCCTTAAACTTTCTTGTTCTGTGTTGGGTATGGCTGTTCCCACCTGTATCACTAGTTCTATGAAAGCAGATTCAACAGGATCTGAAAGAGTTCTAACCCAGTCCAGGATACATAATGCAATCCTGTCCCCCCCCAAAACTAAAAATGGCTTAAAATGCTTGCCTTTTACAGTCAAGATGTGAGGGCAGATACCTTGTCCATCATGTGACCTTGATTATTTGCTCAGTCACCTCTCTCCCTCTGTTTACTCACATGCAATGGAAACAAATGTGGGAAGTATGTAAAGTACACAGTGTAGCATCTGACACAGAGAATGTTCAGCACGTATTGTATGTTGGTTCATCATAATATTCAGTAAATCAAAAAAAAAATCTGCTGAGTAACTGTAGCAATAACAAAAAATAATTTTTTATGGAAATCCATAATATATTTGTTTAGTTAACATTTTCCATGAATAATTTCATAATATGAAAATCATTAGAAAATGGAATTAAGAAAAAAATGAACATGGAAATTTTCATTTAACTTTCTTTCTGTTTTTGGAAAGTCAGAGAAATGGACTGAGTTTCCATTTAAATGTTTCTTCATTTTACTTTCTCCCACAGACACCTTTTCAGATTGCTTTATATAAGCATTGAAGAAAAACTGTTTTGGATCATGATGTAGAAAGACAGAAGATGTAGAAAATACAGAAAGAAGCAATAATTTATAAATTAAGAAATTAGAAAGTTTAAATGTTTGAGTTGTTTGCAGAAATCTTGACATTCAGAAATAGGCACAGGAGTAAAGGAAGGCATTCTTAATTTAAGTATTTCTCTTAGAATAATGATCTCAATATTTTATTCCACTCTCTGGATCAGATCTAACCTTTCTGTAATGCCATGGCTTGTGAGCACTGCCTTACAACCCTCTATAGTCCATGACCTCAGCATCTGGGGATCATGTGAGTTTTTTCCCAAGAATAAGTTCCTGCCTGGATGAAAACTGTACATTAATATAGTGTTTTACCTACCACAGCTGAAGGCTTAAACACCAACACTACTTCTTAAGTAAAACTCAGAAATTATGTCATTGTGATTTCTAGAAAGGTCACTTAAAATTTATACTAAATAAAGAAAAATGTTCTCTGAAAATAGGGTATCGACCTACTTTTAGTACAAGTATCTAATAAGATGATGGGTTTGTTAGCTAGATGTATGTTTACTGTTCACCTACCCTGGGGCCTTTCTCAATGATCTAAATAGCTGAAGAGATTTTAATAAATACATTTCCAGGCAGAACTCTTGGCATTGCAACTATAAAAACACCTAAAACTTCTTTTTAAAAGTTGGCTCATTGTTTTTAACTTTCATTGTAGCTGTCAACCTTGCTTTTCCGATGCAGTCGTAATTGTTTATTCCTTAAATCAACACCCCCCCCTCCAATCTTAAATTTCTTAACAGTTTTTACCAGGGTATATAAAACAGAAACCAATTATAAAGTGAAAGAAATTATTCTTCTCAAGAGGCTTGACCCTAAAAGTATGCTCATTTGAAAAAGGAAAATATGGACTTTGATCTAGATTTTCTTTGTTTTTAATAGATATCCCTTACATCAAAAGGGAAACACAGTGAAGGCCCAAAGGTAAAATCCTTATATTAAGTCTCAAATCTGGTTGTGAGTCTTGGTATTTGTTCCTGATTTGTGCTCATCTACTTGTAGGAGAATGCTTCTCTGATGACGGGTAAGAAAGACGCTGGGAAGAATGAGGACAGAACCAGTGATGGAGAAGTACTAGCTCTTGCTGCCAAGTACTTTAGCATTAAGAGTTGAGGATCCTGGCACCCTAAGCTCAGAGTTGTAACATTAGCTGTCAGGTTCTGGGCCACTTTCTTAAGAATTCAGAGGGATTACTTAGAATAAGGTTCCTGACACTGGGACTCCAGAGATGCTAATGTCAAGAGAGTTACACTTGGCCTCTTTGCAATCCTCATCCTCATAGATTAAAGAATGCTTAGCAATGAGAACAGATTGCAATTTTCTAAATTTTCAATGATTTCAGCCTGCTTCATGAATGAAAGTAGTTCCAGAACCTTCTGATTACTGTTATTTCCCACCCACAACTATACTACTTTTATTCATTGGTCTCAATTCTAAGCTAAATTTATATGTGAAACCTAGTAACAAAAGATCACCGACATTTATGTTGAGCGCCTGCTGAGATTCCCAACAGTGAGCAGAGTCATAGAAAGAATATTAACATAATCAGAAATATATTACTAATAATAGCAACAATACCAAGATCAGATTAGTTCAGGATATCTTCAGTTAAATTGTCATGAAATTTAGGAAAGGAATTCCATGTTACCAGGTAACCTGGATTGGAAAATGATCACTAGCATCCCAAGAGTCTATCTTATTTAGTGATATTAGCATTTATAACTTCTGAAAACAGAAAAGAAGATCCCATCCTTACCATGTTGAAGTTCTATTTTTACCTGCAAGCATACAGATATTAATTTAAGTACATTTTTCATTTGAATTACCTTTTAATATACAAATATTTGAACACCCAAAATGTATAAGTTTGAGAGCATATGATAAAATCAACAAAAAGCAATTTGAAAGGTGTGTGTGTGTGTGTGTGTGTGTGTGTGTGTGTGTGTAGTATACATGTGAAGGAGGGGTGCATGCACCTGAGAAGATGCTTGCTGAGGCCAGAGAAAGATGCTGATTGCGTTTCTCTATTGTCCTGTACCTGTATCTTAGGGGAGTAATCCCCTAAGATATTGTTTCTCGCTGAAACTACAGCTCACCATTTGACTAGGCTGACTGACTAGTGAATCCTTAGGATCAAGCAGCCTTCATCCTTAGACCGAGGTTACAGAGGCGCATGATCATTCTTGGCTTGTACATATGCGCCGTGGATCTTAAGCTCATGCCTGAGTGACTATAGCTCTTCGTCACTGATCCATTTCAGCCAAGGAAGTTACATTCTAATTCCATACATTGCTCTCCCATACCCACAGCACGACTCTAGGCTGAAAAGAATTTCTTGGGAACATTAGGCATCAAATAATGCCCCAAGGAATGATTATCATAAATGATAATTCCTTTGGGTTAGTTTTGAAAAATTGTTGTGATGGATAAGAATTAATACCTGACAAATAAATGCAAAATATTAATGAAGAGTTATATGTATGCATTTTAAAATTTTCTACTTTAATATGTTAAGGAAATTTGATAGCTTTCTACTAAAGGCCAATTAGGAAGCACTTCATGTGTTATAGAAAACAGAATTTTAGTGACAATTTTTTCTACGGAGTAAATTACGAGGATAAAATTTTATGTGCAACGTGGACCTAGTGAATAAAATGGGGCTGAGTATGGACTGGGATTATTTTTGCATGTCATGGAGGTTGAGTGTAGTGTGGGGATGTCTTGTCAATGAGGTTTTCCTAGTAATGAAGTTGGTTGTTCAATAAAGCTGTCATGGCAATCAGGATGAGTGTGTACTGGGATTTTTCTTGCTTTTGTCATTCCCAAACAAAATTTTGGTGGACAGACAAAGCATTTTCTTTTCAGTAAATCAAAAAGCCTAGATCTATGCTTTAACGTGAAGAATGATCATTGTCTCTTTATGACAGGGAGGTCATTGTCAGTCTATGGCAGGATGGCCGTTTGTTTAACACATTTCTATTCAGTATATACTTCCAGTTTGTCAGCAATGGTGACTGATCAGGACAGGAGGGAAAAATATCTCATGTAGAAGGAGCAGCAGGCTGTGTTCCCGCTGGGATCCCGACTCCCCGGCTAGTTTACACCTGAAATAATTACATGGAAACTGTATTAATTTAAACACTGCCTGGCCCATTAGTTCCAGCCTCTTATTGGCCAATTCTCACAGCTTGCTTTAACCCATATTTAGTAATCTCTGTAGCACCACGAGATCGTGGCTTACTGGGAGGATTCTAACCCACGTCCATCTTGGTCAGGGGAAGCATGGCATCTGCCTCATTGCCTTCTTCCCAGCATTCTGTTCTGTCTACTCTACCCACCTATGTTCTGACTTATCAGATCAAGCAGTTTCCTTATTAACCAATGAAAGTAACACATAGACAGATGACCCTTCGACATCAATCTCACTGTGTTCAAGTGACTTGAGGAACAAGGTCAGATTCTTCTGAGTTTGAAATTAATTGATTAAAATATTTTATCCTTATATTTTCATTGTGAGCCTAGCCTTTAATGACTGAGCCATCTCTTCAGTCCTAAAGATGCCCAATCACACATCAAGGACACTTGCTCACCTATGCTGATATCAGTTTTATGTGTAATAGTCAGAACCTAGATGTCCCTCAACTGAAGAATGGATTAAAAAAATGTGGTACATTTGTACAATGGAGTATTACTCAGCTATCAAAAACAAGGACATCAGGAAATTTGAAGGCAAATGGATAAAACTAGAAAAAAATTATCCTGGGTGAGGTAAGCCAAACTGAGAAAGGCAGGCATGGTACATAGTCACTCATAAGTGGATATTAGCTATAAGATAAAGAATAGCTATGCTATATCCCACAGACCCATAGAAACTAGATAAAAATGAGGGTTCATGGAGGGACACCTGGATCTCCCTAGAAATGGGAAATAGAAGAGATTTTGTGAGTGGACTGAGGGCAGGTGGGGGTGGGATCTTGAGGTGGGGGCACGTTCGAATGGGAAGAGTACTGTGAGAGACTACTGGAAAGGGGTGGGGTGCAATCAGGTAAAAACATGGTGCAAGGGAATCTCCCAGGAATCTACATGGTTGAGTCCAGCTAAGACTCCTAGCAATGATGTGAGCCTGAACTATCTCCTTTCAACAGGGTGGTGCCTTGCCCAGCTGTCCTCAGGGAGGTTTCATCCAGCAAGCGATGGAAAAAGACACAGACCCATGGCCATACATTAGACAGAGTTCCAGGAATCCTGCAGAAGATGGGGAGAAAGAATTTTAGGAGCCAAATGGGTCAAGGGCATCACAAGAAAACTTAGAATCAACTAACCTGCACTCACAGGGGCTCACAGAGACTGAACCAACGACCAGGAAGTCTGCATGGGACTGACCCAGGCACTCTGCATATATATAACTTGATCCTCTGTAGGACTCCTCTCAGTGGTAATGGGGGCTATCTCTGACTCTTTTACTGGCTTTTAGGACCCTACTCCTCATACTGAGTCACCTTGTTCAGCTTTAATACATTGGGAACTGCTTAGTCATATTGATATTCCGTGCTTTGTTCATACTCATGGAAGACCTGCCCTTTCCTAAACAGAAACGGAGGAGGACAGATGAATGAACAGGGGGATGGGGACAGAGAGGGGATTCATGTGGAGGTATGAGGAGGAGAAGAGTGAAAGACATTCAACATAGCAACTCTGGCAGGTCCCCTGGTGGGTGGGAGATCGTGTCTGATGGGAGACAGACAGATTCACCATGCAGAGAGAGCTGAAGTATAGAGTTAATTAGTGGGTATTGGGAATAGGATACGAGTAAGGGGTTGCCGGGCAGTGGTGGCTCAGGCCTTTAGTTCCAGCACTCAGGATGCAGAGGAAGGCTGATCTCTGAGTTTGAGGCCAGCCTGGTCTACAAGAGCTAGTT